CATGCAACTAATGAACCACTGAACTCTACCCTGAAACTAATAATACACTGTATGTTAACTATCTTGAATTTAAATTAAAAAGAAAGAAAGAAAAAAGTATTTAAAGAATACTATAGTTAAAACTTGTGTGTGTGAATTGTTTCATTTCCTTCCCTAGATTCTGAGTTCAATGACAGCATTTATTTTGCATTCTATGTCATATCTGCCATATTTTGCTTAGAATCTAGATTATAATTGATACTTAAACATGTTTTGAAGAAAGGAATTAGTGAATGAATGATGGATTAAGTGAATCCAAGCATCAGAGGTAAAAATCTCAGAATTCTCCATTGGTTAAAAGTTACCATTTGGTATGCCTGGGTGCTTACTCAGTTGAGCATCTGACTCTTGGTTTTGGCTGGGGTCATGATCTTGGGATCATGGGATCAAGCTCCTCATGGGGCGCCATGCTCAGTATGGATTCTGCTTGTCCCTCTCCCTCTGCTTCTCCCCCTGATTATGTACTCTCTCTCTCAAATAAATAAAATCTTTTTTAAAAAGTTATCATTTGAACGCAAGATTTTCCCACACACAGTCATATGGGATGAAAATATTGTTCAGACATGGGGCTGTCATGAAGTAAGCATGCTCTTAGTGAAAGCAGATCAGGGAATGACTTCCCCTCAGGACTGCATGCAGAAGAGGAGTTGTGACTCCAAACACAAATATTAATATTTTCCAAAGTTAATGGGTCAAGTCAAAGGTAAATCAATTTAACTTTCGTTTAACTGATCTTCAAACCCACTCTGGAGTGATGGTTCTGTTGCATATTGTGAAGCCTGCAGTGAAAATTCCAATTGTCCTGCTTCTGGAGAGGGTAAAAGTTAATTCATCTGAGACCCAGTTGACTGCCACAAGGTAATTTGACAGCATGGTGCTGGTAAAGCACTTCAATTATACTACTCATTTTCCCCAAAACTTAGGACAGAACTATTTCGATGTCCAAGGGTACTTTTTGTGGTTGACAAAGAAGAAAATGGCCAAGTATTATTGTTTTATACATATTAAACAATCTCACCAGGAATGGTACACTAGTGGATGTGTTTAATTTTCTTTGCCAAATAATAAATAAAAAATATTATGAAGGAACTATACCAAAAAGGAGGAAAATCATACTAGTAAAGCATAACCTCCCTTTCAAAGTTTTGTTTAATAAAGAAAAAATGGATAATCTCAATTTCTCTCTTTTTCTTTCTTCTACACACACATTTTCTCTCTCTCTGTCTCTCTCAAAAAAGGGAAAATTTTAAAACATTTAAAAGCAAAAATAAGTTTGGAGATACTGGCTTACAATTTATAATCCAGATTGTCAGGTCTGAAAGGGATTAAAAATGAAATGTCAATCATCTAACATTTGGAATAAAGTTATGAGCATAAAGTCTGGAAATTATACAAAGGTATGGTCTTTAGCATTACAGATTTGTGGGCTGCTTGTCATGTCTGTGGACTGGGAATTTTCATAATCCTATTATTTTTACAAGAATTGTTAAATCAGAGATGAAATATAACTTACTGATGTTCTAATTTAGAAAGTATGAATAAATACCGTATACATATGTACATATGTATTCCCAAACCTACTTTTTATGAAAATTTAACTAATTTATAAAATTTATTAATGCTCTCTTAGTCCAAAAGGAAGGATCCATGATTTTTTTCCTTTTACTACTAAATACTAAATATGGTATGTAAGTAAATACATGATAACTCAGAAGGTGTGGGCCTAGCATGTTGTTAAAGCCTAAGCAATTATTTCCTGTAGTCATTAGTAGAAAGTAGCTTCAGACCTTTGCTAAAATAAATTCAATACAACTTCAATTTTATGAGTTGTATATTTAATATTGAGGACTTGTTTGATTAACAAGACTGGGACACCTATTAGGCAAAATAACCAAGAGCCTCAGGGAGAACTATAAACCTGAAGATCTGGAACGGGGGTAATTAGGGAATTCAAATGAGCCTCCATCCCTAGGTTAGACTGGGTTGCTCCATAATTTTAATCACTGCCTTCCTACTCATCTCTCGACTAGTAGTTTTCACTGAATGGAAAATAAGTTTTGGTGCAAGTATTTGCAAATTATTGAAGACAGTATCTTATTTAGGTACAATATGGTATGCATTTGAGTGTTTTATGAGGATTAATGTTTGAGTTTAATGTAAAATGATAGGTTACTACATTCCACTGTCTTATCCTAAATATATGAAGAATATACAGTCACCATTTACAGTGGACCTAAAAAAGTATCTGATGCTGTGGTAGGAGCTGAGAGGTGGATGGTGAGATTAATGAGTCTATAAGTCAACAGTTTTATGTACATACATATTATATATACATGCTATATATATAATAAATATAATATATATTGTACTTAATATAATTATGACTGCCATGTGTCAAGCACTGTAATAGACACAATAAACTCAGTGGTGAGCAAAACTGACATATACTTGGCCATCATGGAGTTTGGCATATAAGCAAAGTAGTGCTAAACTGAGTATTAGTAGTAAGTCAGAGGAGGAGGGAAACTTTCAGGAAGGAAATACTATTTGAAGTGTTTATTAATTATACCTATATTTTCAACTTTGTAAACATTAACATGCTCTTCTTTATACAAAACCTTGCTCTTGGACTCATAAGCACAAATAGGGTACACACAAGGGATTGTTTTCCTACAGCTGAAATACATCGATATTGAACTACCACCCACCCCCAGCTAATCTCTTCCATAGACACACATATTTACAGAGTGACTGGACTAAATTAGGTTATGGCACAGTGTGAAGATAATTACTTTAACTAGAAATAAAATCAGCAATTTGTGCCCCTTTGGTTAACTTTGGTTGAGTTAATCACCAAATAGCTAAGTATGTGGTCAAGCTGGGCACACAAGGTGTTAGTAAATGCATTATTGCCTTTCCACTTTGTAGACAAACCTCTAAAGAAACCAAGGCAGATGCTATTAGTCCCATTTTACAGATGAGGGCAATGAGACTCCATCCAAGGTCAAAATACATAGTAAGAGTTATTCCAAAGCTCAAAGTGCAAGTCTTCTGGGCTGCTTCTCTCAGCTGACTCACATTACTATTCATATACTTGGCAACATTACATAAAAGTAAACTAGTTATTTCTGTGCACTTTAAGCCTTGTAGGCATGTTCTTACCAAAGACATTATAAAATGATGTTGATTCAATTCAAAACAAAATTGCATTAAAATTCATAAATGAGATATTTACTTGGTACTAGTCATGACTCAGTGGGTAATCGTGCAATACAGGCTTGGCAGAGATATTATTCCCTAGATAATAATGAAGTGATGCTTTCTTGGATAAAATTCCACTTTCAGGTCTACAGAGTACATGTCAGTTTGAATCTTCTCTTTTTCTGCTTGCTACTATAAGGAAAAAAAAACCCTGTATATTTAAATAACAAAAATAGTAGCCTTTTTAGTATGTAAGTTTACACCCCAAATGAGTCTAATAGAAGTTCATTTTGCATATATCCCCATGGATATTTGAAAATAGGTAACTGAAAATACCTAGTCTGAAAATACGTTTAACATCTATAATATAAAATATGTATAATACAGAAGACCAAACTAGAAATAACAGATTTATAGCAAAGAAAGAAGAACAACATGCATAGTAGCAGCTCACTGAAGAATGCTACTTCATGACATTGGTCTTAGCAACAATTTCATGGATATGACAACAAAAGCACAAGCAACAAAAACCAAAACAGTTGGACTACATCAAACTAAAAACTTCTGCACAGCAATGGATATAATCAACAGAATGAAAAGACAATCTATGGAATGGGAGAAAATATTTGAGCTAAAAACTTGAATAGACATCTCTCCAAATTAAGACCTGCAAATGGCCAACAATTATATGAAAAAATGCTTATTGCTACTAATCATCAGAGAAAGTAAATTAAAAATCACAATGAAGTATCATCTCACATATGTTAGGACAACCATTATTTTATTTTATTTTTTTCTTTCTCCAAATTTTTATTTAAATTTCAGTTAGTTAACATACAGTATAATGTTAATTTCAGGTACACAATTTAGTGATTCAACACTTAAATACAACACTCTGCTCATCACAAGTGCCCAACTAATCCCTATCACCTATTTAACCCATTCCCCTGCCCACCTCCCCTCCAGCAACCCCCAGTTTGTTCTCTATAGTTAAGAGTCTGTTTCTTGGTTTGCCTTTCTCTGCCCCACCCCCAACCATTTTCATTTGTTTTGTTTCTTAAATTCTACATATGAGTGAAACTAAATGGTACTAATCTTTCTCTGACTGGCTTATTTAACTTAGCATAATACTCTCTAGCTCCATCCGTCTTATTGCAAATGATAATATTTTCTTTTTTTTGATGGCCGAGTAATATTCCATTATATATATCACACCTCTTCTTTATCCATTCATCAGTCGAAGGACATTTGGGTTCTTTCCATAATTTGGCTATCATTGATAACTAACTAACTGCTATAAATATTGGTGTGCATGTGCCCCTTCGAATCACTATCTTTGTGTCCTTTGGGTAAATATATAGTAGTACAATTTCCGGGTCATAAGAGTATTTCTATTTTTAACTTTTTGAGGAACCTCCATATTGTTTTCCAGAGTAGCTGTGCAAGTTTGCATTCCCAGCAGCAGTGTAAGAAGTTTCCCCTTTCTCTTCATCCTTGCTAACACCTGTTGTTTCCTGAGTTGTTAATTTAAGTCATTCTGACAGGTGTGAGGTGATATATCACTGTGGTTTTGATTTGTATTTCCCTGGTAATGATGATGTTGAACATCTTTTAATGTGTCTGTTAGCCATCTGTATGTCTTCTTTCGAATAGGAAATCCAGAAATGACCTCAGAACTACATGGTCAATATTAAACAAAGCAATACAGAATGTCCAGTAGAAAAAAAGATAGTTTCTTCAACAAATGGTGAAAATGACAGTGCAAAGCTGGGGCCCATGGAGTTGGGGACCCCGCTGCAGCTGTGCGCCTTTCGCAGCAGCTGCTGGCGTTGGGCGCCGATGTAACACTGTGCAGCCGCTGGACCAACATGAACGCGCTTCACTACGCTGCCTATTTCGATGTTCCAGACCTGGTGCGCGTGCTGCTGAAGGGTGCAAGGCCAAGAGTGGTGAACTCCACGTGCAGTGACTTCAACCATGGCTCAGCCCTGCACATCGCTGCCTCCAACCTGTGTCTAGGTGCGGCCAAATGTTTGCTGGAGCACGGTGCCAACCCAGCGCTGCGGAACCGAAAGGGACAGGTGCCAGCAGAGGTGGTCCCAGACCCCATGGACATGTCCCTGGACAAGGCAGAGGCGGCACTGGTGGCCAAGGAGCTGCGAACACTGCTGGAGGAGGCCGTGCCGCTCTCCTGTGCCCTCCCCAAGGTCACGCTACCCAACTATGACAACGTCCCGGGCAATCTCATGCTCAGTGCACTGGGCCTGCGCCTGGGAGACCGCGTGCTGCTGGATGGCCAGAAGACGGGCACACTTCGGTTCTGCGGGACCACGGAGTTCGCCAGTGGCCAGTGGGTGGGCGTGGAGCTGGATGAACCTGAGGGCAAGAATGATGGCAGTGTTGGGGGTGTCCGTTACTTCATCTGCCCTCCGAAGCAGGGTCTCTTTGCCTCTGTGTCCAAGATCTCCAAGGTAGTGGACGCACCCCCTTCATCAGTCACCTCCACACCTCGGGCTCCTCGGATGGACTTTTCCCGTGTCACTGGCAAAGGCCGCAGGGAACACAAAGGCAAGAAAAAGCCCCCGTCATCCCCATCTCTGGGCAGCCTGCAGCAGCGGGAAGGAGCCAAGGCTGAGGTTGGAGACCAAGTTCTTGTCACGGGCCAGAAGCAAGGGACCGTGCGCTTCTATGGGAAGACAGACTTTGCCCCTGGTTACTGGTATGGCATTGAGCTAGACCAGCCCACTGGCAAACATGATGGCTCTGTCTTCGGTGTCCGGTACCTCACCTGCCCCCCACGGCATGGAGTCTTTGCACCAGCATCCCGAATTCAGAGGATTGGTGGATCCACTGACCCCCCTGGGGACAGTATCGGAGCCAAAAAAGTGCATCAAGTGACAATGACACAACCCAAGCGCACTTTCACGACAGTCCGGACCCCAAAGGACATCGCATCAGAGAACTCCATCTCCAGGTTGCTCTTCTGCTGCTGGTTTCCCTGGATGCTGAGGGCGGAGATGCAGTCTTAGAGGCCTGGATACCTGACAGAGTCAGAGTCCCCTCTAGCATCTCCTGACACAAGGAACCCCTGAGTCACCCTGAGATAGAGATTCCCAGTAACACATCCAGAATAGAGACCCCATTAGCCAGCCCTCGATCACTGAGGCCCCATTATTAACAGATTCCCTCATGGTAACCCCCAAATACAGACCCCATGGTACCCAGAAAGAGATTCCCTGAGTGTAGCACCTTCAGGCTAGTCCCTGTCCCCAACCCCTCAGAGCAGACCCCCCAATAACATGTTTCCATATCACCTCAAAGGATGGTGACCTCTACATAATGGCTCCAGAGCAGAACATTCCTGAGTCATTCATCAGTGGATCAGAACCCTCCCCCATTAACAAAGACACCCCCCTCCATCAAGTCCCCTTGAAATAAACACAGGTCATTATCTCCAGAGCAACAGAGTAACAACTACATTTAATATCAGTCCCCTCAAGATGTTGTGACTGCCATGGTCACCCCAAAAACTTACACTGCAATCAGAGACACCCTACATTAACAAATCCCCGCTCTTACCCCTCAAGAAGAGACCCACATTAACCAGCCCACTCTCACCCCCAATTTACAGACACCAAAACAGTCCTGGAAGTGCTAATTACAGGACCCCTAAGTCTTCCTACCCTCTGCGCCCTGAAGAAGCCCCCAGTGCCTTGTATGAAGCCCACCCCACACAGCCCACAGCCTCTGTGCTGGCCAGACTCCCAGAAAATTCTCTATTTTTTAAGTAATGACTTCCCCCTTTGGGGGACCCCAAAATTTGGAAGCCCCATTCTGGGACTCTGGGGATCCCAGACCCCAGAGTACATGTCCCAAATTCCCCTGTGCCCCCAAGTCCTATAGCTCCTAAAAGACCTCAAGGCCCTAACTCCCAAATCATGGAATCCCCAAATCCCCAGGGAATCCCAAATTTTAAAATTCAATCCCAAGCCCCCAGGAAACCCCAATCATGGAAGTCCTTGTGCCTGGGATGGAGGAGACTGCAGTCAGGATATGCATCCCGGGCTCCCAGAGTACCTCAAGCCCTGTTCATAGGCACCAGGAGACCCCAAACAGGAATTCGCATCCCTGGAAACCGGAGCACTTCAATGCCCTGAGTCGATGGATCTCAAGACACCCAAATGTAAAGAGCCCCACCCCCAGGGAACCCCAAATCCTAAAGCCTCCATCTCTAGTATATGAAGGGCCCCAAGGCCTTGAGGGGATCGCAAATCCTGGAACCCCTCTTTCAATCTACGTTCTGGTCACGGGTCCAAAACACCGAATCTGAGTCACTGGCCCCAAAGGACCTCAAGCACCCGGGTCAGACCAACAGCCTGAGGGAGAACCTAAAGGCCCAGGGGGTCTAGGGTAGACCTGGGGCCCTTACCACCAAGGACAGCTCATGACTGCCCCTTCACTGCATGTCCCCGAACTCAGCATGACCCCTATCCCCTTCAATAAAAATGTTTCTATGGGAAAAAAAAAAAAATGACAGCAACATGCAAAAGAATGAAACTAGACCACTTTCTTACAACATACACAAAAATAAATTCAAAATGGATAAAAGACCTAAATGTGAGACAGGAAACCATCAAAATTCTAGAGGAGAACACAGGCAGTCACCTCTATGACATTGGCGGTAGCAACTTCTGACTAGATATGTTTCTTGAGGCAAGGGAAACAAAATAAAAATAAACTACTGGGATTTAATCAAAATAGAAGCTTCTGCATAGCAAAGGAAACAGTCAACAAAACTAAAAGGCAACCTATGGAATGGGAGAGAAAAAATTGCAAATGACCTATCCGATAAAGGGTTAGTATCCAAAATATATAAAGAACTTCTAAAACTCAACACTCAAAAAATAAATAATCCGGTTAAAAAATGGGCAGAAGACACGAAAGGACAGCCATTATTTAAAAAAAGAAACAAACAAAACAAAGCAAAAAATAAAAATACATAGCAGAAATTATAACATGTTGGCAAGGATGTGGAGAAATTAGAACACTTGCCACTGTTGGTAGGAAAGCAAAATGGTAAAACCACTAAGAAAAACTGTATGAAGAGTCCTCAAAAAATTAAAAAGGGAGCTACCATACACCCAGCAATTCAAATTTTTGGTATATGTCCAAAAGAATAAAAATCAGGATCTAAAAATGATATTAGCACTCCCATGTTCATTATAGCATTATACTTGTGCTTATGGTACAATTAAGCTCTAGAAACAACCCAAACATCTACTGATAGATGAATGGATGAAGAAAATATAGTATATACATAAAATGGAATACTATTCAGCCCTAAAAGAGAAGGCAATTCTGCAATATGCCGCAGCATCGATAAACTTTGAAGAAATTATGTTAAGAGAAATCAACAAGACACAAACAGACAAGTACTGTGTGATTCTACTTACATGAAGTATCTATAGCAGTCAAATTCATAAAATCAAAGATTGGAATGGTGGTTACCAGAAGGTGGGGGAAGGAAAAATGGGTATTTATTAATCAATAGGCATAAAGTTTCAGTTAAATAAGATGAATAAACTCTAAAGATTTGCTCTATGGCATTGTACCTATGTCAACAATAATGTACATTTAAAATTTGTTAAGGGGATAATCTCGTGTAAAGTGTTCATTACCATAACGAGATAATTTTTTTTAAAAAAGAATGCAGCTGTCATATGAGGTATATTATACATTTAATATAACAGAAACAACTCCAGAAGATGATTTTTTAAATGTGCCTGACTGTATGAGTACACATGCATATATTTCTTTTTTTAACTTTTACTAATAATCACAGTAATAATCACTGGAGAAAATTTGGAAACTAAAAAACCATAATACAATTCATAATACAATTCATAAATGACTACTATAAACTTTTCAGTGCATTTCCTTTCAGATAATAGATTGTTTGATATTTCTCACATATTTTGTAGTGATTGTTCCACTGCCATCTATTCTTTGGAACTTACTTTAATTATACCATATTTCATTTAAGTATTTCTACATTGTAGGATGTTATGAATTTGCCCAGTTGCTTTTCCCAGTTAATTTTTTTAAAGATTTTATTTATTTGAGAAAAAGAAATTATGAGCAGGGGAGAGGGGCAGAGGGAGAGGAAGATAGAGAAGCAGACTCCCTGCTGAGCAGGGAGCCTGATGTGGGGCTCCATTCCAGGCTCCTGGGATGTCTCAATCCCAGGACACTGGGATCATGACCTGAGCTGAAGGCAGACACTAACCCACTGAGCTACCCAGATGCCCCTTTTCCCAGTTACTTTTAAATATTTTCCAGTTTGATAGTTGAAACAGTATCTCAGTGATGTACATTTTATTTCTTTAACAAATAGCAAGAGTGAACATGCTTCCAAATATTTGTTGACTAGTTCCATTTCTTTCTTTGTTGGTTGCTTGAGAATGTTCTTTATTTCATTAAGGACAGTAGCTTCTTTCTCTAAAAAAACAATACTATCAACAACCAAAAACAAATTACTGCGAAAAAAAATATGTTTAACAAATCTGGCAGATAACATAATATGATGGCCTCATGACAACCCTTCTGGCTTGATGCCTTAGAAATGGGAGTTTGTTTGCAGTGATCTTGCATAAAAAAGTCACCTTTCTAAAATCAGCTTCAGGGGTTAAATGATAATAGGAATACATATGAGCCCAAAGGATGCAAGGAGAGTCACTGTGTCCAGCTCCTACAGGCAGATAATATTGGCTACTAAAGTCTTACCAATGCACAAATACTGATTCTTTTTCCCATCTGTCATTCAGCCTTCTGGACTTTCATATCCCTATAAACAGCTAAATGTCTCTAAGCCATCCAGAAAGGATTTATAAATCAGGATGCGATCTTTGTACCAGTGAATCATCTTAGAAATTTATTTCTGACATTACAAGACTAATGCTTTGAAAAAGAATGAAAAAAAATCCTCATTTGGCATATATATGAAAATCTTTAAGTGGTACAAAATTTTAAAATTACCATTATTACTGCTGGTAATAATCATTATTTTGTATTGACACCTAATTTTTCACTTCTCTTACTTGATCCTTACAGTTATCTGCAGAGCTAGAAAGGAGATGCATTTTCATACTCTTTATAAAGAAGTTGAGGTCCAAAAGACGTTGACTAAAAACCACCCAAGATCATACCATTAATTAGTAGCAGGGAAGAGACACAAATCCTATCCCTCTGATTCCAAACTTTCTGCTCCTTTTTCCCCACCCTTCATGTCCCAATGTCATTATCAGTGTTCTAGGCTTCTATCAATACTATATTTGGCCTATAGGTAATGTTCATATACACCTGCCTGTTTACCACCAAACTATTACAGACAGGAGCTTTGAAAATTTCTTAAGGGAGGGACACCTGGGTGGCTCAGTTAAGCGTTTGACTTCAGTTCAGGTCTTAATCCCAGGGTTCTGGGATCAAGTCCCACATCAGGCTCCTTGCTGAATGGGGAGCCTGCTTCTCCCTCTGCATAATGCTCCCCCTGCTTGTTCTCTCTCTCTCTCTCTCTCTCTCTGACAAATAAATAAAGTAAAAAAAGAAAAAGTTTCTTAAGAGAACCAAGAGGGTAAAAATATCCTTTGGAAGAAGATATGCAAAGTATAAATCTCTGAGTTAGTCTGATATAATACATTTTGCACACAAATGTATCCATGGCTTTGTTCATACAGTTCCCTATGCCTGGAATGAATGCTTTTGTATTCTATTCAATCTGTCTCTCCTCTCTTCCTCTCTCCCTCTCTCTTTACTGTCTCTCCCTCCCCTCCTTTTTCCCTCCACTACTCATTTTCCAAGGCTTAGCTCATATGTTCTCAATCTTTCCCAGTATTTCCCACACACTGAGTATGATAGTTCCTATCTCTGAACATGTACAATAGTTAATGAACTTTATCTCTTATTTCAGACCTATATGAGTTGTTTTATTCCCTTACCTGACTATGAAATGCTTTATGGTTGCGCCTGGCATATATAAGTACTCGATATA